AGATATGGAGAAAGTCACACACGAACAATTGAAAAATTATCTTTTCCTATCTTGTTGCTTATTTGGACGTACTTTGGCAATGACGTACTACGTCAGCGAGCTACTTTTGCATGCTATGAGGCGCAACGTGTCCATGCTTTTCACAACACTGTTTCTTCACAATTATGTGAAGAATCCATGCTGACAAAGCTCAGAGCCTTTATGAATGAGTGTCAGTACAGTGACATTGTTTTTTATGCATGTTCCACTGAATTAGGAGACAATAAGCAGGTTCAGGAGGTGCTTCCACAATATATTCACAAGGCAGTGTGGTTTGATCCAACAAGCAGTGTAGTTCATCAACAATACCAATCAAGCATCACTGGTGTCAATGAGATTAAGCCCCGCATAGTTTTAAAAGCATTGAATGCAATTGATATCGTGGATTATATGCTGACAAAAGTAGCTAATCTGTTTATGCAACAACTAATCGTGACAGTGATGAGTTTTCAATCGATTTTTATAGTGGAAGGGACTAATGAGGAGTTAGGATATGGTGCCCACGCAGTTCTAAAAATATTTTTACCTCTATCTTCTGGCCCAAATATTGATACTACAGATGGTGGAAGTATGTATTCTGCTCTTACTCACATTTTGGTTGCATCCAATGACGTTATCCAAGAAGTTACAGGTCTGGAGGAGGCAGCCAGAGAATTAACAATTGATGATTTAGAAAAGAACCATTATGTACTTGTACATGGTGGTGGATTTAGAGCCTGGTGTTGGTATAAAACCATTGCTCTGTTAGAAAAGATTGGATTTAAGATGACTGCAGTGGATTTAACTAGTTCAGATATTCATTCTTTTGACACAAATAACATCACCAGCCTATTGCGATATGCACAACCACTCACTGATTTTCTTGAAAAACTTGCTAAGGGAGAGAGTGTTTTTGGTGGGTCTTAATTTTGGTGGTGCCGGTATATCATTTGCAATGGAGTTCTATCCCTCTATTGTTTCTGTCACGACCCAAAATCCAAAAAGGTCGTGATGGCGCCGGACACCGCTGTCAGGCAAGCCAACCATAATCAATTAACTTAATTACTCATTTTAGTGTTTTTGAAATAAAAATTTCTTCAATGAAATAGTAAAGATAAAACTCATAAAGTAAATGATAAATATTTTTAAAAACTAAATTTCTAAACAATTCATAACCATTCCCAAAACCCGGTATCACAAGAGCATGAGCATTTACTAGAAAATTAAAATAAAATACAACATCTGTCCAGAATACAAATTAGACAGGAAAGTATAATAACTCTGACGGAGATTCTGTTAGCTGCGGATCGTAATATAGAATGCAGCTCACCTATGTCCCCACAATTATTAACCACACATCTGCGCCCACAAGGCCTCTATACATATGTGTACCTGCACAATAAAATATGCAGCAAGTACAGTATGAGTACGAAAACAACGTGTACCCAGTAAGTATCAAGCCTAATCTCGAAGAGGTAGAGACGAGATGGCCGACTATGACACTCACTATGGGTCAATAATATTAAATAATCATGAAAATAGAAATATTTTATATCAACGTGATTCACAGAGTTAACAATAATTTTATTGAACCGGCATAAGTAATTAAATTCCTTCATTTCCAATAATTTCTAATCTATTATTTAAATCCTTCAAATTCAATAAGAATTCTAATTTATCAAATAGTTTTACAAGCTGCAATTCAATTCCAATAAATTTCCAATTTATCAAATAACTTTACAAGCTGTAATAAACTGTCCAAGTATCGTGTAGTTATTATTATTATTAAGCACGATTTCTGCCGAGGTCGTACGGCCCGATCCAGAGTTTCGTGTACACTGCCGAGGGACGTGCGGCACGATCCATAGATGCATCTATCTTGCCGAGGCGTTCGGCCCGCTCCACAAGAAAGGAGGACATTTTCTTATGTACCTCCGGAAGGAGAGTATATTTATTATAAGATAAATTCGGGAGGAAGAACAATTTCTTTTAACAATTAATTAATTTAAACAGAAAATCAAGCATATGAGGTTTCTATCCTTTAATATCTTTATCTGAAAATTCACAATATATTCATATATATATCAATTAATATTAATTAAATAAAAAATATAATTTACACAAGTAATTCATGCTTTGAGTCCTAAACTACCCGGACTTATGCATTAATAGTAGCTACGCACGGACTCTCGTTACCTCGTGCATACGTAGCCCCCGCAATTAGCAACAATTATTCAATTTAATCCCTATGGGGTAATTTCCCCCTCACAAGATTAGACAAGAGACTTACCTCGTCTTGCTCCAATTTAATCCACTAGTAGGCCTTTTTCTCGATTATCCAACTTCGATTGGCTCGAATCTAACCAAAAATAATTCGATACAATCACAAAAATTTATAGGAATCAATTCTATAAGAAAATACTACATTTTTAATAAAAATTCCGAAATTAATTAAATATTCATCTGTGGGGGCCCACATCTCGGAATCCGAAAAAAGTTATGAAATCCGATAATCCATTCAATTACGAGTCCAACCATACCAGTTTCACTCAAATCCGACTCCGAATCGATACCGAAATCTCAAAAATTCGTTTCTATGAGATTTCTAAAATTTTCCAAATTTCAATCTCAAAACACTAATTAAATGGTGAAAACAATGATATATTTGTGTATATAGACCAAATCTGAGTTGGAATCACTTACCCCAAATGTCTTTCCTTGAAAATCTACCAAACGTCGCCTCTGCTTAAGCTCAAGTTTGTCAAAAATGGCAAATGGGTCGAATGCCTCTATTTTTTATAACTTACAGATCTGCCCAGTTCGATCTCGGGAGCTCGATCTAGGGATCTCGATCTCGGGAGCTCGATCATGGGAGCTCGATCATGGGAGCTCGATCTTGGGAGCTCGATCATGGGAGCTCGATCTTGGGAGAGCTCGATCTTGGGAGTTCGATCATGGGAGCTCGATCATGGGAGCTCGATCTTGGGAGCTCGATTTTGGGCCTCGATCTTGGGCTTGATCACAGCCCAGAATTTCCAGCAGAAGAGAAAAATTGCAGCAGCTGTTTAAGTCCAATTTTTTTGATCCGTTAACCATCTGAAACTCACTCGAGGCCCTCAGGACCTCAACCAAATATACCAACAAGTCCTAAAATATCATACGAACTTAGTCGAACCTCTAAATCACATCAAACAACGCTAAAACCACGAATCATACCCCAATTCAAGCTTAATGAAACTAAGAATTTTCAACTTCTATATTCGATGTCGAAACCTATCAAATCAACTCCGATTGACCTCAAATTTTGCACACAAGTCATAAATGACATAACGGAGCTATGAAAATTTTCGGAACTGTATTCCGACTCCGTTATCAAAAAGTCAACTCCCCGGTCAAACTTCCAAACTTAAATTCTTGTTTTAGCCATTTCAAGCCTAATTTCACTACGGACTTCCAAATAAAATTCTGATCATGCTTCTAAGTCCAAAATTACCATACAGAACTTTTGGAATCATCAAAATTCTATTCCGAGGTCGTTTGCACATGATTCGACATCCGGTCACTATTTGAACTTAAATTTTATTTTTTTAAATCAAAATTCCATATCTCGGGCTAGGGACCTCGGAATTTGATTTCGGGCATATGTCCAAGTCCCAAATCACGACACGGACCTACCGAAACTGTCAAAATACTGATCCGAGTCTGTTTACCCAAAATATTGACCAAAGTCAAACTTGGCCTTTTAAAGCCAACTTAAAAAACTAAGTGTTCCGATTTCAACTCAAACACTTCTAAATCCCGAACCAACCATCCCCACAAGTCATAAATCATTTATAGCACATACGAGAAGTTTTATTTAGGAGAACGGGATTCTAAAAGTCAAAACGACTGGTTGAGTCGTTATAGTTTCAAAAGCAGTATTTGTTGTTCTAGCAAATATACACGGTCACATCTTATTCTTAAGCCATAGAGGGCACTATAGTTTAGAGAAAATTAGTGGGGAGTGTTCTACAACCATTGTCCCTAACCCGAACCTTGAGGACAAGGTTCTTATTAACGGTGGGGGTATTGTTATGAATGCGGCCCAAGATAACAAAGGTGGTGAAAGTGGATCCATTAGAAAGAGAAGTAGGCCCAAATATCTGCAAAAGAACCTGTCAAATGACATTTGAGACCCCAGCTAAGATAAGGCTAATATGGATATAAAATGAGGAAGCTACGGAGAAGATCCTGATGAAAATACTGAATCTTTTCTTTGATTTGATTTAGCTCTTGTTGGAGCACTCTCGAACCTCCCTCCATTCTTGTTTTCTTTTTTTAGTTCCTTTTCCTTGTATCCGATATTGTTTGTCGTTGGAATCCATCTCTATCTTCTTCAGTAAATATGGATCCATTACATTCTTCCTCTTCCACTTCTACTCAGACAACCTTGAATCAATCCTCAATTCTTCTCATACACCCGGCCTCAAGTGATAGTAAATGTCCCATCTGTCAATCTAACTTTGAACAAATAGAATATATGCGGATGATTCTATGCAATCACGTGTTTTAGCATAGTTGTATTTATACTTAGATGACTTGTGGGATGATCACAAGCCGACTTGTTTCCAAGATACCGTCATATCGTGGCACAATAATTTATTCTTTGCTAATTTTAGTCTTGTTATTGTAGTATTACAGAGTTTAATATTCAAGTATGTACTTGAATTTTGTGTATAGTATATAAGAGCCCTAGGGACCTGTTATTAGGAGCCCAAGAACTTCGTTTTATAATTCATACAACCAACACTATTTACGAGACCTAAAAGTGACAAGTGGAATAGTGGTCCCACTTAGTAGAGCCACGTTTCTTCCTCGCGTCTACGATTTTGGGAGAGCTATAAGTACTGCTACCTCCGTTTCAAATTGAATGAGTTATTTTTCTTTTTACTATGTTCCAAAATAAATGACACATTTTTAAATTTAGAAATAATTCAACTTTAAACTCTTCATTTTACTCATTTTACCCTTAATAAGAAGTTTTGATAACCACACAAATGTCATGGCCCCACAAAGATTTTACCCTTTAAGCTTTTAAGACAACAAATTTCAAAAATCTTTTTTTTTCTTAAATTCCGTGTCGAGTCAACCCACCTCATCTAAAATTTGGAGTTGTTGTGGGACCCACTATTCCACTTGTTATTTGACTGCTTTGTGCCTCTCTTCAATTTGTGTTGTGTTTCTGCTGGGGGGACACAAATCTATAGGAATGTGAATCTCTCATTCTACTTTTAGAGAGTACTGATTTTAAAAATTCAGTCTACTTGTTCTCTGTATTTTATGCCTTTTTCTTTTGGCTTCTTCATTTAAGAGTATGATTTTAGATTCTTTGAGCATAGTTAATTTAATCTTGTTGGCTTTCTTCATGTGATCATGTTTCATTGTGGGTCGTGTACATGGATGTAGTTTTTTTTTTTTCAACCGCTTGCGGGAAAACTCGGCTAAGCACAAAGATGTAGCCAATGTGTTTGACGAAATGCCTAAAACAACTGAGCAATATTTATTTGTTTTCTTAATTTTTCTGTTCCCACATATGCTCTTTCTTCATGTCAATTTCTATGAGAAAGCTTCTTCCATGTCTCGCCTCCAAGCCCTCTTTTTTAAACAACAATGGAGGCTAAAAGCAATATATTTGCCACCTCTAATGTTGTCGACATAAATCGACGGTGGTCGTCCATTGGCTGAAGCTCGGTACTGCCACCTCTGCTCTCTATTGCCTCTCTTTAGATTTTGTGTTGCTATATGTTACTTGCTTGTTTGAGTAACAACAATGTGATTTTCCCAATATTAGGCTAAGCATTGCCAGGAATTTCACAAGAAGACGTCATTCGATTGAGACTCCAGCATTCTTGCCTTCTCTAGTGAGTGACAATTGGGTCTTTATTGCGTTGTGGTGGGCAAGATATGTAACAAGGGAAAAGCAGTTGCAATCCTCTTGCAGTGGCCCATATTGCTCCTATTGCAGCGAAGAAATCAAAGAGGCCAAAAACTTGCTCTCAAATATGATAGACGCAGGACCACCACCTGGCAATGCAGACTTCAATACAATTATCAGTGTACTCTCCAATAGTGGAGAATTGGGAGAAACGAGTAAAATATTGAAGGTAATGGAGGATAGAGGTTTGAAACCTAATGTATACACTTACAGTGCAATTATGAGTGGTTACCGAAGTGGGATCAGATGGAGGAGGCTTGTACGATTTTTGATAAAGCCAAAAAGAAGCTCGAATTAATTGTGGTTATTGCAAGCTCGAACAGATTGATAAGCCTCTGAAACTATTAAGAGAGATGGAACCTAATGCTGATGAATATAACAAACTTATTCAATCTCTATGCGTGAAGGTTTTAAATTGGACAACAGAGAAGCTGCTAGAGGACGCGAATGAGAATGGGTTGCATCTAAATGCAATCACAAATGGTCTTTAATGAGCAGTTATGGAGCTAGAACAAGAAGGAGCAGGAGACACGAACAGACGCGGATTTGGGATTTAAACTCTATGAGTTCAACATTTGTGGTTCTTAGAGCATTGAACACATAATATATTTAAAGTTATGGGCTAAGATGAACCCGGTACAACATAGTTGCATCCAACCCCCAACATGAAGTAATGACAACCGCATAGTAGGTACTGAACACTGCCTTTAGCTGTTGGGATCTGTATCTTCTGTTTCATTTCATGTCATAGATAGTTTTTATTTGGAAATAATTTAACAATTTAATCCAAGAAAACCGTCACCAAACAGAAATAGGACATCTTAAACATTCTGCAAAGGCATTCTGAATAACAACAGATGCCTTTGCGGAGTGTTGAAGATGTTCTATTTCTGTTCGATGATGGATTCCTAGTATATGCTTATTACATCCTGTCAAACTTCTTTCTGTTTATTTGTGTCCTTCAGTAGTGAAAACAAAGTCTTGTTTATAAAGAAAAGGCTAGAAATGCACAGGCAATTATGCTCCTTCAAGTTGGTAGGTGAATTTTATTTTTAGGTGAAATTAGAGGGGGAAAACATTTTTCACCCTATTTCTAATAGCATAAAAATCTTGATTAAAATAAAAGCTCCTTGGCGAACGAAAGTTCTTTTTCATGATTATTTGCTAACACTAAACAAAAACCAACAAAAAGATTAAAAGGAGAAGTCAGAGCACGCGACGTGCAAAATTAATGACAAACAAAAATTTCATATTTCCTTGGACATGGAAAGTAAGTAATATCATCATAGTAGTAATTAACATAATGTCTCGAACCCACCAGGTCCTCCATAAAATGCCATATGCTGATACTTTCCACCTCTCCAATGTGATACATCCATAACACCATACCGATTAGAATCATCAACACGTACAGTTGTTTTGTCTATATGTATTGTCTCACCTTTATCATTTAAAACATTAAGTCTCCTACAATAAGCATCGTAATTTGGATCTCCAATAGGAAAACAGCTGGAGCCCATTGGAGGTTCAGACACGCCTGGCGGACTATATGCTACTCGTTCAACACTAGTAGCAAAGCTTGCCAAGTTGCTGAAAAGCCTTTGAGGCCAAAAACCAACTTGTTCGTTGCTTTCACCAAACAAAAGCCACCAGTTTCCATTGGCTAGATCCTTTTCAGAAAGAAATGTCTAATATTACTAAATTGTACCTTTCAATTCTGATCAATTCAATTGTAAATAGAAAACCAACTCAAAACTTGAAAATAATTCTGCAAAAGAAGAAAAAACATACTCGTTCGATGAACATTGCGATCTCCAATACTCTTTTATCTACACGTTGTGTAACTGGATCAAAGACCCCATCAACAGGGTACTTACTACTTACAATGACAAATCCAGGGCATAGCGTGTTGAAGTAATGTGTATTACCAGCCTAGTAAATGTAAAATATGCATGAACGCTTCTCAATCGAGGTATTACATAGCTAGAAATATGTACTACTTTTATGAACACAAAACAAAAATCATTAAAGTACACAAATTACCTGAAAATGTACAAAAAATCTAGTCTTATTGTCCCCGTATAGTGTTGGATCCACCTGAAACATAAAATAGATTTATCATGGTTGAATGGGAGCTCATGTCATAGGTTCTAACTTACATCCTAAAGGTCAATAGTTAATCTCATCTCCTAGAAAATAAAAAGAAAACAAGCTATCACAAATAAACAAAAACAATTAAATTATAAATGAACAAGTTGTTAAACTTACTCTCCACCCAGCTTGTAAACTGTCTAATCCTTTTTGGATTTTCAGTCGACATGCAGTTTGTTGTTGACTTTCAATACGAGGATTCCATAAACTAGCTGACATTCCAGCACCCGCAAACTTATTATTTGGGTCATTTGGAATTTGAACTATTGCGAGCTGAATATAATAAATAAATTTTTTTAATCAACTTACAAAACTGAAAAATGAGAAGATGATAAATGTTCATAGTTATTTACCTTGTATCCCTGTGAGGATATGGAACTTCTCTTTGGCTCGCTATTGTTGTTACTCTGCATTGAACCAACAAAATATATATGATATGCTATGATGAAGGAAGACGTAATTACTCAATGGAGCTTCATATGCGATAGCTTCTAGTGGTGGAATATGTCTTTGTCTAATAAGATCATCTTTGGTAATTCTTTTAATAGGAACAGTTTCGAAAGGACAACCTCTTTCCTTTAACCATATCTCTGATGACTCATTAGCTTCATGAGCTGCTGACATATCTGAATTTTGTAGTGTGCTAGCTAAAGTAGGTTTTATCTGTCAGTGAAAAACTTAAATATGTGTTATCAACAATTCTAAATTATTATTAAATAGTTGAAAGTAAAATGAAAAGAGAAAACATACCTTAGGATGAATATCATGATTCTTTAACAACGGATGATCAAATGCAGGTTGTTTATAGAAATTCATGCAATCATATGTATCCCCATATTTTGTCTGTGACCCAAAACATCATAAAATAAGTAATCTTCAGGTACAAAAATATGGAATTGAGGAATATGTATATTTTTTTTCTACAAAAGTAATGTCGGTACACTAAGAAAATAATCACTCAAAACACTTGAGAATACATTGACTTTCAGCCAACATACATACCTTAATTGTTTTGACTGCTGGCTTGTTCAAAAGTTTAAGTTGCTTTTCCAACTCTGAATCCTCTAGTTTGGATAGTTTTTTTTTCTCCTTGAACTCCATTATAACTCAAAAGAAAATATAACGCCAGCAGAGTTTGTTGAACAATTCTTTGACGAATCAACATAGTCTGAGTCCATTAAAATTATCTCTACAGGCATGAATGCTGAATCTCTATAGATACAAAAAAAACTAATATTTAATGAACAAAATTAATTAATTGAACTTACTTGATTTACTAGATGTACGATAGTTGAAGTTTTTAAGCATCCATCAGTTCCTGCTAAGAGGAAAATGTTCTATATAGGGGTAGAGGAGTTTTAAAATGGGTATAATATGTGATATTAAATCACTAACTTATTAAAGTAGAATTAACCAAATCCAGGGAAGATTTCTGGTCAATGAATGCTGAATGTTCTCTTCTTAATATATAATCCAACGATAATCTGGCCATAGATTACCAGTAAATTTAATTGAATCTACAGACGATTTCTGTTAATTAAGCTCTGTTCAATTCTAAGTGATATTCAAAAAGACACTCTGACCATAGATTATAAAAATTTGGGTAAATTCACTTGTCCGTTTAACTTTGCCTAGTGAGTAGTGAAACTCATTTCCCTCCTAAACTATTTTTTTCATCAATCATCCCTCGAGCTTTGTTCTTTCAAAGAACTTAGATTATGTTAATCTTGCTAGTAATATAGTCAAACTGTCTTTTTTGTTTTTTTCTTAGATGCAAGCTATAAACTTTATTGACATAAATCTTTGTAGATTTTGGTGATCCTCCTCTAATAATTATATTAACTCTAATATCTTGTATAATAGCCATTCAGAACTCCTTTATCTTGATATGTATATAAGATCTTTCTGAAAGAAAAAGTGATAGTTGCCCACAAATTTACTCACTCACAGGCCTAGCAAATCAAGTAGGTGCTCTGTTTAATGCTATTTTCTTGCTTCGTTAATTAATTTATATTAGCTTTCATACAAGATTCCAAGGTTGCCTATTTAACACTTCCTTATTCTTTCTAAATAATCATTTTTTGGGTACTTTCTTATAACTTAAGATTTTGGTCTATTTTATTTACATAACTTGTTGAATTTAATGGGGTTTGCATTGTGCATACTGCAAACATGCAATTACAAAGTGATTATATACATATATTCAGTAGTGGCACCTATAAAAGTTATACTAATGAATTCAGAGTATGTTGATTCATCAAAGAATTGTTCGACAAATATTGCTGGTGGTATATTTTCTTCTGAGTTATCACGGAGTTCAAGGAGAAATAAAGTTTTCCAAACTAGAGGAACGGGTGTTGGAGAAGCAACTTAAACTTTTGAACAAGCCAACTGTGAAAACAATTAAGGTATGTATTTTGGTTTATTTGAATTAAATAAGTTCAAGATTGATTATCGTTTCATACTGTTCTGTGCCATAATGTATCCATACATATAAAATTAACAATCACGTTAAAATTTGGTAAACTGAATTTTCCATATTTTGTTCGTTTTTTATGTTTTAGTTGAATACTATGAAATTTCTGCATTATAGTACTTTTTACATATTCTTTAATTTTTGGTTTCATTTTATCGAGCAAAACTAAGGCATAATAATGCCTTCGACAAAAGCCTATATTGATTTTGAAACTTGAAAGTCAGATATGGTAAATTATGAGACAGAAGAAGCAGTGTTTATCATTTACCAACACCCATTTTTTCCATAACTTTTTTATGTTTTTAAAAGTTGTTTTTGGATTGCACGATACATTGCAATCAAGATTACTTGGTTTATGAAATTTTTTGTTCACAGACTAAAAGTGGAGACACATACTATTGTGTGGATTTCTTCAAACAACATGTATTTGATCATCCATTATTGAAGAATCACACTTTTCATCCTATGGCATGTCTTTGCCTTCTTTTTTTTTGTCCATTCAACTTTATAAGGATGTCGTATAGTTAACAAACAAAATGAATTTTGAATTGATGATGGATGAAACCCATTTTATCAACTACAAAGCAAAATTCAAGTATCTCAATAGTTGATATATCGAGGATATGGTTAAACGATGAAAGTTGTCCTTCTGAAATGAGGATATGGTTAACCAGTGCTCCAAATTAAGGTTGTCTTCTCTTCTATTTGGATTGAATTCACAAAAACAGCAAGCTACCTATTCCTATAGTCTAATAGTATAAGGGACTTTTTAGTTGCTGAATAACAGACTGAGCTCTCTCTACTTTGGATAATCTCTGTAATGATTTCATCTTTTATATTCAGCTTGCAATATTTCGGACTCCAAATGATCCAAATAGCAAGTATGCGGGAGCTGGAATGTCAGCTGGTCTATGGAATCCTCGTGTTGAAAGTCATCAACATAATGCATTACACAAATTGGTTGGAGTATAAGTTTAGCAACTTGTTCATTTATAACTTTACTAGTTTTTTTTACTTCAATAGCTCCAAACTTCTTAAGAGGAGAAATACAGAGAAGGGAATGGGATGAAGATTGAATATTATACCTCTAAGATATTCATCATTGATCTTCCACTCAATAGTTATGAAAGCTCTCTTTCTTATTTTAGGTGGATCCAACATTATATGGAGATACTAAAACTAGACTTTTTACTCATTTCCAAGTAAGTTATCTTTGGCACTTGAATGATTTCCATCTTGTGTTCATGTGACTAGTTTCTTTCGGTCTAGCTATATACCTCAATAGACAATGGTTAATAATTTTTTTTTTGTGTGTGTATAATGTTTTCTAGGCTGGAAGTAAACATTGCTTCAATACACTATGCCCTGGCTTTGTTGCGTCAATACACTATGCCCTGGCTTTGTACAATAAACACTGAGATACCTATGTAGATTGATCGGGTATAATTTATGCTTCTTTTTTGAACTTTTTAATAATTAAGAGTAGAATTTGAAAGGTACAAAAACGCTAATATACATCTTCTTAAAAGTAAAAGGATCTTGCCAATGGAAACTGGTGGCTTTTGCTGGGAGAAAATTATACACAAGTTGGCTTTTGGCCACAGGATTTTCGCTGCATTGGCAAACTTTGCTACCAATGTTGAGTGGGGAGGAGTTGCATATAGTTTGTCAAGTGTACCTGAACCTCCAATGGGCTCGGGCCGTTTTCCTATTATAGACTCTAGTTATGAAGCTTATTGTAGGGGGCCTCATAGTTTTAAATGATAAAGGTGAGACGGCAGATGCAGAGAAAATACATATATTTGTTGATGATCCAAAATTGTACCGAGTAATTGATGAACTATATTGGGGACCTGAAAAGTTCCCGCGTTATGTTTTTTATGTGNAACCTCTTAATCAAGTCTATGGAATGCAACACAAAGTAATGGAATATAAAAAGAAGAAATTTGTTTCACGGCAAGCATCAGTTTGATAGATAACAGTAACATGCAAATAATCCATACAAAAAAAGGTCTACCATATTTAAAAAAAGATTTGAAAATAACAAAAAAAAATAAAGATAAGTGTTTTTTTAATCATATATGTGATCCATGTTTTGCTATCACTCATAAAATTGATCTCAAAGTCTTAAGTTAGCTACAAGTAATTTTCCGTTTGGAGTTCTAATTTTCCTTTTTTAGTTTAATTATAAAGGAATCGAATCGATTTTTTCAGTTTGAAATTCAGAACCTTATTTTTTAGAAGGATTTCTGTTAATGGAATGTCTAGTATAATTTCTTCCTTATCTGTTTCTCCCTTAAATGTATTCCACTACCACTATATATCAACATATTATATTTAAAGTTGACATTTAAATGTAGTCATTAATACATAAAAGAGGACATTGACAATAAAAGGAAATAAAGAATCAGCAAAGAAAACAAATTAGGAAATACTAGTATGTACATTAAGAGGAAGATCTGAATATATATAGTCTAAGTAAGAAAATAACGTTTAAAAAAAAAAATCTCCCTTCTTTCCTTCTTCTCTTCTGTCATATCCGTTACTTAATTTTAATTTGACCAAAATCCAATTATTAAATGTTAATGCAAACAGATTCCACAAAACAAGCACCTTTCTTTTTATGGTCCAAACTTAACATTTGGAAATCTCATCATTTCTCTATAAATTCATAGAAGAATTCATCACCAAGCTTCGTGCAAGATTTGAAGGTGACTATCTGACACTTCTTTTTTGTTCTTTTTAAATAACCATTTTTCTGGATATTTTCTTCTAACTTTAGAATTTTAGTAGAGTTCATGTATTTACATTTTACAGTGTAGTGATAGTATATTATCCTAATTTACTAAAAATGAAAAATATTTGCAAGCATGCAATGAAATGTGATTATATCTTTGTTTTAATTTTGGTTACTTAATACTTATTAGTTTGCCGTATATACAGGAATTCAGCAGTCGCCAACAATGTTTTTTTAATGAATTCAGAGTATGTTGATTCATCAAAGAAATGTTCTACAAATTTTGCTGCTACTATATTTTCTTCTGAGTTATGATGGAGTTCAAGGAGAAATGAAGTTGTCCAAACTAGAGGAACTAGCTTTGGAGAAGCAATTTAAACTTTTGAACAAACCAGCGGTCAAAACAATTAAGGTATGTAGTTTAGGATATTCGGATTAATAATTCTTCATTGATCGTTGTGATTTTAAAAAATATCCATGATGATGTTTAACAATAAAGTTAAATTCTGGTAAACTGAATTTGTCATATTTTTTCGTATTTTATGTAGTTGAAAATCGTGATTATTTGCCAACCATTTTATTCTACAACATTTTTATGTATACACAAGTTACATTTCGATAGGGATGATGTTGACTAGTGTAACTAAGATTAAAGCTTATGAAATTTTTGCTTACGGAGTGAATGGGGGGATACATACGATTGTGTGAATTTTTACAAACAACTTGCATTTGATCATCCATCCTTGAAGAATCATAATTTTCATCCCGAGGCATGTATATACACTTTCTTTTTGTGTATTCAACTTAATATTGGTGTAGTATTGCTAACAGATAATTTAAAACAAGTTTTGAATTTACAGATGAAACCCACTTTATCGACGATAAAGCAAATTCCAAGTACCTCAACTGTTGATATATATTCAAGGATATTGTTAGAGAACGGAGGCTGTCCTTCTGGAACCGTTCCCATCAAAAGAGTTACCAAAGATGATCTTATTAGACAAAGACGTATGCCACGGCCAGAAGATGTGAGATAATATATTACACCAATTTACAATTTTCTTGATTACTCATTTCTGGACAAAAGAAACAATTAGGTAGATATAAGATAATGTTACACAAATTTATACACAATATAATAGGTTAACACTTCCTAAATTATAGAAAATATTTCATGTATAAATTTGACACGTTTTTTTACTGTTTTGTGCAGACAAATAACATTCTTGAGACAACAGGAGGATACTTGGTACCTTTGTCTCTTCTTGCAAGAAAAAGTATACAATAATTTCACTTTTGCTATAGTTATCATGGATTCAACCAACTGTACTCACCAAATTTGGTGGTAGACCTAGTGAACAATCGAGGCAACACTAATTTCTTTAAGAAAAAAAGGAGTGTAGAGAATCTTTAGAACTGATCGGTAATATTATTGGCGTATTTAAAAAATGCATGCATTAAGTGAGTGTAGAGAAATATAAAAGTTCTAAATGGACGCACAATAACAAAGGGATCAATTTGTTCAATCTTACTCTAGTAGGCCTTAGAATGAAGTAAACGAACCATAATAGTTAGTTACTTCCCATAATGAAAAGTAAACTAAATTTACAGAAATTTTAAAGCAGAAGAACGGCACTATTTGAGCTTTACCTGCTGTAATGTTGACTGCGGAATAGGTTATGCAGCGTTCTACATACTGTAAAGTAAACGCTGAGATACCTCTTGATTTGGCATTCAACCATTTTCCTATTACAGACTCTATTTATGATGCTTATTGTAGGGGACATATAGTTTTAAATGTTAAAGGTGAGACGACAGATGCAAAGAAAACACATATATTTGTTGATGATCCAAAATTATACCGGGTAATTGATGAACCATATTGGGGACCTGAAAAGTTTTCCGCATTATGTTTTTATGGGGGAGTTG